GAGGCGAGAGGGGAAAGGGGGGAAAGGTGTGAGAACATATCAAACAGGGTCAGGTCTCGGGTTCGAATCCCGGTTGAGCCGAAACACTATCAAACAGGAAGATGGACTTCCAGAAAAAAGCATCTGTACTATGTGGAGCCTGGCACCTGTGCTCACAAGGCATATTATTTTTTGCCCAAATGATCTCCCTACTGTCGTTCCCCGAGTAGAGCGGAAGGTCATTGTCAGTCGGTCGGGACATGCATTCAAATCAAATTGGAACAACACAGAGAAGATTAGGATGCGCATGGCCCCTGCGCAAGGACAGCACAGGTAAATTGAGGGGGGGGGGGGGATGAAAAAAACGTACAGTCATTATAGCTGTATCTGGACTGACAGATGGCGCAGATTCAGCTGTAATGACCGTCCGTTCTGTTGTATTCGGGTGAAGACGGTAGTTTTTGGTTGCTGCCCACCGGGCAATTGCGGCTCAGGGGGACAATCACGTTTTATACAGGCCCCACTGGTGCTATGTTCATTCTGGGTTTGAAAGCATGAACCTGGCCGTAACAACGACCAGGTTAGTGCTCTTGTAGTATAGACATACTACCAGTGGCCTTGCCCTTCACCCGTGGCAAAGGTGAAGGGCAAGGCCACTGGTACTCTGTCTATACTCTGAGGGCACTAACCTGGTCGTTATTACGGCCAGGTTCATGCCACTACACGGACTCCCACAGGCACATTTCTTTGGTCAGCAGAGCTGACGGCAATCTATCTAACTTCAAGCACGCCGCCGAATTTTTATTTTTTTTCCATTTTTTTTTTCCCACTCCCTTTCTCCTTTTTTGGGTCCTATGCTGGTCTATACTCAAAGTTGCCCCAAATACATACACCTATAAAAAGCCTATAATAATCATAGTATAATGACTGTACAGGGCGTGTATGTCGTTGTATTCAGGTGAAGACGGTAGCTCGTCTCTGTGAGAGCCCATGCCGTAGTTCATGTGTGGTTGACACATTAAGGTCAGGTTGCACTGTGGGCTAGGTTCATGCTCAGAAAACATGAACCTGGACACTTTCTCTGACCAAGTACATGCTTTCCGTTGAGCTCCCAATTGAAAGCATGCATAGCTATCGAGTTGCCGAACGTACAAACATCACAAAAAAAGAAGTACATTAAGAGAATCCTGCATCAACAGCCTAGGTTCGACTGCCTACGATGTACCGGGCATTCTGTTTGTGACAATATATATATATATATCGTCATATATATCGTCAAATAGAACTGCCCGGTATATATATATATATATCGTCACAAACAGAACTGCCGACGGTAAACCGTAGGCAGAGAGGGAGAAGAGGACAACAAACGAGGGGCTGTGACAAACTGTTTCGTCGGAGTTTCATTATCGTCACAAATAGAACTGCCCGGTAAATATATATATATATATGTGGGCTTGTAATGGTACTACTACCTGGGATACCAGCCACAG